TAATACAACTTAATGAGTGTAGGCCTTTGCCTGCCATCCCTTTTTTCAACATTTCGGGATGTGTGCTTTTTACTTCCCATCCTCTGCTACCACGTGACCCCAGTTCACCTCGACAGGGTCCCTGATTGCATCGAGTTGTCACGGTTTCGCTGAGCACCGCAGTTCGCTTTCTGTGCGCCCCTGCCTGCAGCCGCCCTCCCTGGCAGGGATGTACACCTGACATGTAACCACTTCCCTCCCAAACCTACTCCAAATTCCCATCACTTCACCTCTGACCTTTTCACCTACCTTCACCCAATCAGATGGCAAAAAGTCTTTAGTGATCAATATTGTGGTGCATCGGTATGAGCTCGTTAAGTGTCGTTAGACCTGGCAAACACGCATTTACACTGAGTGCTACATCTCTTCCTCTCTCTGCGACCTGGATTAAGCTTAGAGAAAAGTTTTAATGCCTTTCATAAAAAGACATATCTTTCAATATAAAAAGATTAAATTCATAGATTATAAATAATATAATTTCAAAATATGTGAGAATTTTAGGACTTCATTTGCATTTCAGGGGAACTGCAAGCTCAATGTCCTTGATGCCTTCTCAGTCCCAAACCTCTGATAAAGAAGTATTTGTAGGATATACAACAGGTAGAAACACACAGAGCACATGTCCTGTACACTGGTTACAACACGTGACTGAGCAACTTTACCAGACAAGTTACAATCCTGCCATAGCACTGTCCTGATAAAGTTACCCTCTTTTTTTCATGTATACAACTACATGGATTTTGACACTGTCAGTTAAAAATGTCAACTACATCCAATCAATGTACAATCAATCAAATGTCAACTACAATCCAACTACATGGATTTTGACACTGTCAGTTTCTGCTGCAAACAGAACAGGCAAGGGTTTTTTCCCCTGCATCTGACATTAATGAGTTGTGCCACATTTTTCAAACCTGATCTTAAAAGCACGTTTTTGCATTTAAGATATTTGCCACAGATTTTATAGGTATAAAAAATCGTTTGTTCATGTGTTAAGTTACAAAATTGTAGTGCTTAGTATAATAAATGTCAAAATCTAAGATCTTTTAAAAAAATGCTTGTTTATAATACATTGCTTTATATTTATAAGGCAGCAGTCAGTACCAATCTAGTTTATTTTGCAGCAATATTGTAGTGTAAAAATGCTGCTAAACAATTCTGGTACTTTCAGATTACAAGTATTTATTTTCCAAAAACTATACAGTAATATACTGAATAAAGAAACTGCAGTAGTACTGTTTGTGCCTTTACAAATATATAGAGAACTATTATGGCTGATATGGATTAGATTTAATCTATGTTCCACACAGCACAGTTTTACTAAGAATAATAAAAAGATTTTTAAAGCTTAAGTAAACTGACAAAAAAGGCTTCTGATACTATTGTCATAAGCACAGTAATAAAGCTGCTTTCATGGTCTGAGGTTGTGCATGTTTTTTGAACCAAGCACCCAGGTAATTGGCTTTTGTGATTCATGAAGGGTTTGTGATGTTAACCAATACCTGGGAGATCAGTGGGGACATGCATAAGCATCTCCCACTTTCTGTCCTTAAAATGAAACATTTCTGCCTCCTCTGAAAAGGTAAAGATGTATACAGATGTGTAAAGTAGTGTGCTTTTTTTAAAGAGGAAGAAATATATATGCATATATGTATTTTTATATATAATATTTAAGTTAGTGTCAACTGAATCCAGGCAGAGATTAAACTGACCATAAAGACGACGTAACACAAGTCATTAAGGCAGTAAATTGCATCTCTTGAGGATTTTCAGGTATTATACCTCTCTCTCAAGAGGAAAATGAAATGTTGAATTGCATCGTAGGCCGAATCTGCGCTGAATGATTACAGCCAGGTAAGGAAGGGCTCATTTTTGTTGAGTACTGACTCCACATCATTGAGAATGGGGATCAGGTCTTCTGATTCCAGCGTCCCAAGATCAACATTTGTTCCGGGAAGACAGTCGAGGAAATCAGGGAAGCGTGTTTGCTGGGGATTTATGTTCATTGTTGTCTGTGCTATAGTTTCTCCTAGGAAAAGCAAAGAAGAACTTGTGAAATACCAAACTCTTCTTGTGGGTAATTTAAAACAACACAATTGATATAAAAAATACACTCCCCCTTTCCCATAAGCACTTGTCAGCGTTCCTGTTCTCTACAAACGTTTCCTCAAACCCGATCTGCTCGCAGAATGCATGTTCTCCTAAGAGGTAACTTCCTGTCCTTCAGCTTTCCTCTCACAAGCAGCAGCATTCAAAGCCATCAGCTCTGGCCTTCTGCTGGGGAAGTGACTGTTCAGAGCGACTGCTCACAGTGACTGCTGCTCACACCGACTGTCACTCACTGCTGGTCTGCACAGCCAGCAATGCCACCGAGCCTCACCTAAACCCTCTGCCCTGCTCTCTGCACAAGGCTGAACGCTGGCCATGGGGCGTGATTGAAAAAAGCACTTTACAGCAACTTAGCTCTGCAATCTTATACTACTTTTTTCATAAATTAATAAGAAGCAGCATGAAAATCTTTAATACAGAAACCTTTCACTCTGCATCATCTGATGACTTCAAGAGGAAGCTTAGGTGAGGAAGTGCTGATAATTTCACTATCTGGAAAGAAACTTGTTGATTTCCTTGTAATTTATTTCAGTATTTTAAACACCATGAGGATGCTGATATAAAAATAATTACATAGCAAAACCTTAGCTAGCAAAATACATTCTGTTTGAAGGCAAATCCAACTTTGCCATTGTAAGAGACTTACTAATGAGACTGATTTCCTAGAGTTAGAAAACGCAGTGATTTGTACCAAGAATGTAACCCAAGACCAGATTTTCACTCCTCTTACCTTGGACTGTGGTATGAGAACACAATTAAGGCTCACATTTTCCAACTTATTTTAATATCAGTCTAAGGTAAAAGGGTAGATAGAATCTGGACTTAAGTTAAAGCTGAGAACCTTCTAGGCACTAAGTACCTTTAAGGCATTTTCCTCCACTGTCTGACTCTGTTCTCTAGCATAGGACAGTGAGAGATTATTGTTCAGTTATGCAATTATTAAACATTACTGGTTATAACACAAAGTTATTAATATCCTTATATAATTTAGGTAAATCAGAGTATTCTACCTGTATCCATCTCATCTACGTTGCCGAGGAAATCTTCGGGTGTCGTTGGTATACTGTAGCATCCTAGTCCCAAGCCACTGTCTGTGCTTTGTTCCCTGGAATGGTATGGCCCACTGTAAATTGAGACACAAAAAAGCCTCAGTAAAAATGTTCTGCTAGACACAGTCCCCAGTCAGGGTGTGTGAAAAAAGACAGCATGGTAGGTGAGATATTGAAGTTAAAGACCGAGTCATTAAGTCTCATTCTCACCTGTTGGCCCTTTATGCAGTCATGTTACATCAGCTCAAATATAAAGCAACTGAAGTGAGGCCACTCTTAAATTTTGAAATGTGCATGTGTATATATAACTCTCTAGACAAAAACAGCTCTGGTAGCCTAAAACAAATGAGTTAATTTATACTTAGGTAATGTACCTGTTCAACCTAGAGTATTCTGCATATGCCTACAGTACAACTTGTTACAATTTGCTTGATTTTTCTAAGATTCCTTCTTCAAGTACAAACTGAAATATTTCAGGTCAGCTGCTCAGCTGTAACCCCTGCTCACAGTAAGTACAAGAGATGATGATACAGGAAACTACTTCAGAGAGACAGCTTTAAAAGCACAGAGAAGCAACAGAACCCATAGCCTGATGAAGAGGACATGAACTCACCTGTTCAGGAAGGGATCGGAGCCGTTGTTCGCAATGGGCCTCATGTCCTGGGTCAGGGCGGGCGCGCTGACGGCTGTCTGAGCCGGGGCCATGCCTTCCGAGTCCATGGGGAGCTGTCTGCACAGAGCAGCTTCCTGAAAAGGCAGGCAGAGAGGAGGTGAGAGTTATTCCACAGCTCAGAAGTACTGCATCTCGTAATTATGACCTATTAGAGAGCAGTGTAGGGGAAAGGGACCTGGGAGTCCTGGTGGACAGCAGGATGACCATGAGCCAGCACTGTGCCCTTGTGGCCAAGAAGGCCAATGGCATCCTGGGGTGTATCAGGAGGGGGGTGGTTGTAGGTCGAGAGAGGTTCTCCTCCCCCTCTACTCTGCCCTGGTGAGACCGCATCTGGAATATTGTGTCCAGTTCTGGGCCCCTCAGTTCAAGAAGGACAGGGAACTGCTGGAGAGAGTCCAGTGTAGGGCTACAAAGATGATGAAGGGAGTGGAGCATCTCCCTTATGAGGAGCGGCTGGGGGGGCTGGGGCTCTTTAGTTTGCCGAAGAGGAGACTGAGGGGAGACCTCATTCATGTTTATAAACATTTAAAGGGTGAGTGTCACGAGGATGGAGCCAGGCTCTTCTCGGTGACAAACAATGATAGGACAAGAGCTAATGGGCACAAGCTGGAACACAGGAGGTTCCACTTAAATTGGAGAAGAAACTTCTTCTCAATGAGGGTGACAGAGCACTGGCCCAGGCTGCCCAGAGAGGTTGTGGAGTCTCCTTCTCTGGAGACATTCAAAACCCGCCTGGACGCCGTCCTGTGTAACCTCATCTGGGTGTTCCTGCTCCAGCAGGGGGATTGGACTGGATGATCTTTTGAGGTCCCTTCCAATCCCTAACGTTCTGTGATTCTGTGATTCTGTGATTCTGTAACAAGTGAACACATAACATATACAGATCTTCTTACTTGACGAAGAAAATCATCATGCAGATGGACATCATCTCCCATACCCACCTGTGCCGGCTGCAAGCACTGCAGGATCTACCTCAGTGACCACCACAGCTGGGCACAGGATCCAGCCAGCCGCAGATGTGCCTGAGGACTTTCCAAACCAGCCTCACTCTTTGCGTGGTGCAGAGCACGAGACGCTGCTGTGAACGGCTTTACTGCAGAGCTGCCACAGGGCAGGGCCGAGCCCTGCACAGCACCATGGCCTGCAGAGCAACTGCGCCTCTGCAGCCTCGCTGGCCTCGGAGAGAGCTCCACACCACCAAGTACCCGTGCTGCAACGTCAGGTACCTCGAGTGTCACCTCTGACAGCCTGCACAACGCAGCTGGTTACGGACAGCCGGCTGATGCCCGCCGAGGGTTTTCACCTGCACACGAGAGCTGTGAAACACTCAGGTTACAATTGCAGTTTGCTGTTCAGTGAGGCCAAGCTCTCCAGGAGCTGGAGCAGCAATAACAAAACAGTTTAAAACCTACAGACTCAATTTTAATCTCCCACGTATCTGTTCCTAACAGCTTACCTTAAGTGAAATTGCTCTCAGTTTAAAATGGTGCAAAAGAGAGCACAATCAGGCACTGAAACTATGTGAGCTGCTATGAGATGACATAATGTGCTATATACCGGAGCAGAAGAATATCACTTGCAACCATGAAGTACTTGTTAGAAGAAAACCACTGGAGCCAAGACCAAATCATCTTTAGAATTAACCCTCTGCCTAATAATAAGCATCTGCCTAATGACCTGTCTCATGTACACTGCCTTTAAAGTGACAAATGAGCAATGAGACCAAAGGAAACTTGTTTCAGCATTCCTGAAAGATAAATTCTTCTAGTAGTATTTCTGTGAAACAACCATGACATCTAGTGGCACACAGGTCTACACAAAGCTTGTTTGGCTCCATGGGGATGTTCCAAATAAGTACCTTAAAATAATAAAGCTGTATCTGTTTTTTACCTAGTTTACTCCACCTATTTATTATTTTCTTTTATGAAATAAGCAAAGGAAATATTTCATTTAAATCCTAATAAAAAACTTTTCTCCACTGACTCAGTCATTCATCCTCCTAAGTACAGAAAACACTAGTGTGTTCTTGAGGCTAGAATTTGATGTTTTACTATGCTTTCAATTGATTTCTTCATTGAGGAGCTCTGAAAGCCCTAAGCACAACTTGCAAACTCTTCATGGCGCCTGCTCAGCACATCCAGTGCTCACCTCTGGTTGTTTTGTGTTGCACCAGAAGAACTTTCTGATAACGTCATGTCTGTGCCACTTCAATGAACAGCTTTGGCTGCACTTGGGACAGCTAATCACAGCTAACAGGAGCCAGGTGACAACAGAACAGGTTTTGTTGTGGACTGAAAGCTTCTATGTCACCGTTACTGGCCTCACAACCGCTGTCACCGCAAACACGCCTTCTTTTTAGAGAACACAGGCACTGCCTTCCTTCAGAAAGACACAAATATTTTTCTATATCATACTTAATGGGAAAAACATAAAACACTGGTAACCTCTGTAACTTTATTTCCAAATGTAGCTCAGAATAAACTATTAGCAAAGTAAGAACAAGAGCTCAGAGGCTACATTACTGCTATGCATCAGGCTGTTTATCCTACGGTCAGTAAGGTGGACAGTCAGCCACCTGAGAAGGACTTTTGTTAAACGTGAAGGTTTTTCACTGAACTGTCTTCCACAAGTAGGAAAGCATTGCAAATTGTCCATTTGCAGACCTCAGTGCTGGCTGTTTGCTGTTCTGCAGCTGACCCCTGCAGTCAGTGAATTGACAGCGATCTCTTTGGAAAACGTGATGCCAACTACTGCTTGGTCCCACAAGGGCAGATCCATACCCAGGCTTATCAATCGTGTCCCCACATACAGGAATTTGCCCTCCTAACCACTAACTGCAACAGAGCCAACAATGTTTAATCCACTGCAGGATTTAGACAGGCCCTGCAAAGCAAGAAAACTGGTGAGCTGAAAAGCCTCCAGCACCCTAAAGAAAATCTCATACTGGCATTTATAAAATCTAAATTCTTGTGCGTGATCTGCTCTCACTCAGGGAATGGCACCTCCTGCATCTCTACTTCACCACATTCCATGTTTCTTGTAACATTAATCCCATGTGTACTTTACAATGCAGAACAGACTCCTGTGACGGGATCAGTTGGGCCGGGAAGCACACGGTACCAGTGGCACCACACACTGACGTGCGCTCCTCCTCTGCTGCTGCCTGGGGCAGGTGATGTCTTCAGAAGTCACATCACAATTCCAGCACTGCTACGGATGGTACAGACTTCTTCACTTTGATATTATTATGGCAACGCTCAACAGGAGTAGATCAATCACACAGTGGCAGAAGCTGTGTGACAGCCATTACATCCTGTTATCTATCCTAAGCACAACCACAAGGTTCTCAAGAAGAACATCAGGAATCTCCTACCCAAGGTTAAAAAGTCTGGGACATTTTCCCTGTGTGGCCCTTTCTGAGACTTCTTGCCAACACCACCTCTAAGTACTTCCATTTCCAAGAAGCTCTCGAGCAGCAAGCAGATTCTCCCTTTTCCTTTGGAAAGCTGACAAAAACAAATCAGTAAGGAAGAAAATGAACTCCTTCCAGAATGACAAAACTGAGGAAGGAAACATTTACATAGCAGCTGTCACACTGGGTTTCTGAAATGCCGCTCTCCTTGCATGCACTCAGCTGTGCAGGTCTAGAGGCTTCACCAGCTGAGTGAAGAGGAGGACAAAGAAGGAAGCAAATTCCTGAGGCAGAGCTCCCAGCACCACACATTTATTCCTTGGGGCAGGTGCGCTGCTCCACCCTGGCAGCTGCAGCCGGGAATGGCCACAGGGAGCCAGCAGCTGCTGCCAGGCTGAGGGGGTCTGTGACCCCCAGTGAATTCCTCCCTCGCCCCAAGCCTGCGCCTCCTCGCAGTTGCTGTCAGCAGCGTGCATGCTTACTCAGCGCTTTTCCCTTGGATAGGTCATGCTAGAAAAGCAAAAGCAGCAACGAAGGGTCAGGACAGCAGTAACCGCTCCAATGCCGACGGCTCCAGAGGGATTTGCCGCATTCTCCTCAGCTTCCAGGCTCAGGAGCTCTCTGCTTTCTGGCAGGAAGTTCACCAAGCTCTGCTAGGAATGATGGGTTTTGCATCTTGCTTTCCTTGGGTGGAAGTGTGCTGTTTCCCAAGAGCTACACCAGTTCTGAAAACTTCAGTAATGCAGAGGGATGCTGTCCTGCTTTATGCAATGTGGAGCTCAAACATGCACCACAGGAGCAGGGTGGTTCTGGACATAACGAGCTGGAGGCTTGATGAAGTACGCACAGCTGCAAAGCGCTGCGCGTGTATTAGTTTCAAAGTAAAACACAGTCAGCAGAGCAGGGAAACCAGCCCTTGTGTTAATGGCACAACTGTTTTGAAGCTTAATTTGCTCTTGTCCTGAAGCAAGAACAGAGCCAAAGAGATTAAAAATAGCCAAGGGCGTTATTAGCACAATGATAATTATGACTAAGCTCATACCAGATATCCCAGTCTCTTCCCACACCCATCTCTGTCATGTCCTGAGCTCTGGATGGTGAAGGAGAAGGCACACAAGAGACCGGGGATCACTGCTTTGGTCAGAGACCACCACGCCGAGCACAGCTCTGCGCACACAGGTGACGTACCATAATGCCCTCCAAAAATCACAGGTAATGGAAACTGAATGTGGGCACAAGACGCTGGTGTCTGTACAGTTTCCATTCTCACATCTGAAAAATGAAAGCCAAATTCAGCCCTAACGCAAGCAGGTAAAAAAGTTCTGAAACTTCAGTGGAATCGTATCTGCCTTTTTCCCCTGTTCAGCAAGAGCACTGGGCACTTGCTTAACTTTGAGCATGTACACATATTCACCAAAGACAATGGGAATAATCTCATGCAAAGATAGCCAGGTGTTGCTGCAGGAGCTATAAAAGCCCACAATTCAGAGGAAGGAGATAAAAGTGTAAAAAATGTTAATGAAGCAAATACATTGTTGTAAAGTATTTTACAAATAGAAATAGAACAATAAACAAAACATCCACAAAGAACCATAGCTGGAAAGTCTTCAAATCAGAGGTATTCATGTAAGATGTGAATGTGATTATATTTTAATTCAAAGGCAAAGGATTCAAGTTACAGCGTTGGGATCAGAGTCAAGAACAACTCCCTATGTTCTGCCTTTATCTTCAGTGAAGCATGAATATGGTCTACTATAGAAACCAGGCTGAACTGAGAACTGATCAGTGATAGTTGTTCTGTGTTTATAAACCGACACAGGACAGAATCTGGTCCTTACACTACTTTGACAGCTGGTAAGAAAGACACCAGCTCTGTAACTCCTGACGGATGGCCATTTTGTGTTCTGTTCAATGACAGTTTAGAGAAAAAACCTGAAATGTTCTATTTTTATCGGCTTTTTGGTCACCCTTACCTGAAATAAGTGTTAAACTTGACATAAAATAACGGAGCTACCACTCGTACCTGGTAAAGATGTGGATGCACTGGACTAAAGGCTCTATAACAAAATACAGGAGCATCCCTGGCGTTACCTGGCGCAGCAGCTCCTCCTGACGCATCCGAATTCGCTCCCTCTCCATCTGGATTCTCTGGAGCCGCAGCTTCTGCTGCTGCCGCTGCTGCGTGGGTTTTTGCAGGTTCGGCAGCGCCGGCTGTGGGGCCTGCGGAGGGTGGCTCTGCTGCGGCATGGCCGTGCTGGGCACTATCGGGTGCTGGTGGTTCATCACTGCGGGGAGAAACAAATCAGAGCTGGTTGAGCAGAACTGCACGTGAAGGTAACAGAGGTCTAGGACACACTGCTCATTTACAGTGCAGAGTTATTAGAATTACTGTATTTCAAGTGGGTGAGATAACTGCTCCACCTGGCAAGATCAGGTACTAGTAATTGTTTAATAAATTATTTTTAGTATTTCATATGTGTATAAGGCATGAATACTTATAATACAGCAAGTATTTATGTTCATCCTGGTGTGTTTAAATATTCATCTAATGATATGTAGTAAATGACATGTAAGTCTTTTAATTGGAAATTGCTCTACAAATGTGTGCCTATAACACGCAGTAAGCTAGTAAAAATGTTTTCAATCTTAACATTTTCGTTATTTCAATGAATTATTGTAAGATTATTTACCAGCATAAACAATGAGCTCTGTGTGTGTTTTCCACCACCATGAAGGAGTCACACACATTTCCAGTGACACAGGCTGTAGCCCTCCTGCATAGCCACGGATGAGTCACAGCCTCCGTGTACTCATCTACAGATGAGGGTTAATATCATTCTCATATCTCGCAGAGGTGTTTTACACACTCCTTACCTCACAGGCACTCACACAGCGCAGTAATGAAAAGCAGCTTGACTGCAGATCGTGCATCTAACAAGATCCAGTGACGAGCTGGACGGTCAGTTACAAAAGTGGCACAATAAAAAGACCAGAAACCATCAGAAGCTACGTCTTTCCATAACTTCCCTAACGTGCTTTCACTTACTTTTTCAAAGCAGGGGAAATGCAAGGAAAAGATCATTAAATTGAATCTGTACCACCTTCACAGATGAAAACGCAAAGCAGTGAGAATCACTGCTAACTTCTCTTGACAGGGTCCATCTCTTCTGAGCAAACGCTGCCCTTTCCCAAAGGGCCTGAGCCACCCAGTATCACAGGATGTGGTCGGTGTGAAGTCAGCTGAGTTCACAGGACCAGAATCACCATCAACAGCAAAACAGGGCAACTGCGAGTTAGTGACACACTGCACCAGTTTCATTACCAAACCCAGCAGAAATCCTTATCAATCTTGTACTGCCCAAATTCACTGCTGCCTTCAACAGTGACATCAGGCAAGAATCGAGTTTAAGGAGTTCTTAAATGCAAGCCTGTACAAAATCAATCCAAATGATGCCAAGTTCAGGCCTGGCATAACTCCCCTCAGATGTTAGATAAATCGGGTAAGGCTGAATTTACAATTCATGGTTTCATTTGCAAGTGGAAAAGGTGAAGTAAATTAGTGATTATGGTGTCTGATTTTAGACCTGATTTAACACAACAGAGGGATTTGTAACTCTTTTGAGTTCTGGATATGCCAGCACCATATGTTATCATTAATGTCTCGCAAAGAAAACCAAAATAGTCTTTTGTGCATTTACTTATCGACTGAAACCTTATCTGTTAGGGTACTCAGATTTGGAAATGATCCATTAATTCTCATCCTTTGGTAAGATATCCAAAGGGTTATTCTTATCTTTTAACAAGAACACTGTAGACACTCAAATACTCTCTAGAAGAGATACAATGTTCTTCTGTCCGAAGGACTAAGATTTGTATCTTCCTTTTCATCTTTCACTCCTTGTTCTACCACGTGAGAGCTGCAATCCCAGCTCCGTTCTGTGCACTGAACACCCCAACCTTGGAGGATACAGCACAGCAAGCGCTCCCAGAGGTGTGCAGCGGAGAAATGGGTTGATGATTTTACACCTGGATCACATGTACGACACCCGCACAGCACAAAACGCTGAACAGAACTCACTCTGCCAGCTCCCAGTTAAGTGATTTGTGAAGGGCTGGCTTTGTGCTGCCCAGCCAGGCGCTGTCTGGTGTCTGCAGCTGCAGTACCGCAGGTACGCAGGCATCAGCCCAGCATAAACTTCGCCCTGTGTCATTTGACAGAAATATTTACGTGTGCTCTATCAGATCTGAATCCATTTTTTCCTTCTGGGCAATCCAGTTTCACACAGGTCCAGCATGTAAAGATCGTGGGACCATCTGAGGGTGCAGCCACATGGTATTTTAGCTTCAGTGGCAAATCCAGCTCAAGAAATAACCCAAGTTAAAAGCAGCCCTGCCGTAATATAACCTTTCCACGGATTGGGGTTATGTGCGGTCCACAAACAGCTGCATCTACACAAACGACACCATGCTCCCACCCGAAATCCGTGTGCTGCCAATCATCACCCCTTCCACGCCCTGCCTGCCCCTGCACAGAGCGGGCAAAAACATTTTTGTGGCCACACGGCAAACTAAAAATTGCCTGGGGATAGAACGAAGATTATTTTCTGGCTAGATCAGTTCCCAGCAAAAGCAACTGGGCAGCCATGAAAATGCTTCTGTGCAACCGGCGTAGGAGTCCCGGTGGGAAAATAAGCTGGGTGCGGGAAAGATGGACCAAGGCCAGTGCTGATCAGGGACTTCTCTGTGAAAGCCCCAGGAAGGTCAGCGAGCTGCAGTGCTGGGAGCAGAACGGCAGGAGTGAGGGCTGGGTGCAGACATCAAGCCACTGCATGATGGAAAAACAGTGTATGGAACCACATTTTATGATGCAGTGAATTTAGTCTTAGTTATACTAAAATAAGTAAGAAATATTGTAAGTATAATTATATAAATCTTATCAGTGTAAATCTGGTGTTAAATTACCAGGACCATAAGCACTTAGGCAGGAATTTAACTGTTCTCATATGCATAACCATATGCTTAAATTTTTGGCATGTCAGTGGTGGAGTGGATAGAGCCACCACGCCGAGCATCCAGGCTGGCCAAGGGATTGTCACTGTACAGAGAGTTCTCCATAAGAGACGCCTTCATCTGAGCAGCACACGGAAAGGGCAGGGCTAGGCAACGTTAGGAGCAGATGAAGAGGCTGTGCGTCTGGGGTGCACCCAGGGCTAGGGTGTGAGCTGTAGCACTGCTTTCATGGCTATTTGCTGCCTTGGCTATATAAAATACTCCCTTCTCCATCCACTGATCTGTAGCCATGTTGTATCACTGCTGAAATTACACGTGCAAGAAGGCAAAGAACAAGACAAAACGAAAATGCTGAGGAATGTTACAGTCCCCAGTAACCCTCCAAGTCACTTCTTCTCATGGGGACAGACAGAATGCTTTCCACTTGAATTATTCTTGGGTGCAATCACAATAATGTCCCATAAGCAAATTTAGGACATATGTGGTCTACTTTTGTGAAGTCAAATCCAGTTTTGAGGCACGTGCATGCACACATACGATGCACATTAAGTTAATCTAACCCAGCTCAAAACACATCTTAACTGGAAATAAAAATAGTATAAAACATAAGACTGTTAGATGATTCTTTTTTATATCTATTAGAGAAAACAAAATGAAAACACAAACTGGGGCATTCTGCAGCAGAATCCACAACAACTGCTTCATTCAGCTGCTCTAAAAATACATTCAAAGGGTCAAAATGTTACAAGTACAGTAATAAAACAGCTGACTCTGGGAACTAGCTGAACAGTAATTAAATCATGGCAGACTTGCAAGTACTCTTCTGCATTGGTTCCACTGAAAGGCACTGTAATTACCATGAGCAAGCCTGCAGTTAATGTGCTAAGGTTTATGGCTCTTCTGTACCAGCAGTTCAGGCGTGGAGCGTGAACAGCTCTTCCAGGTGGGCCTGCAGGCTCCCGAAAAGCATGGCCATCGCTTCCTGGGGCTGCTGCAGCCTGGGCCGCACCAAACACAGCAAGACATTTGCAGCTTGAAACACCCCTCAGGACACATCGCAAGCCAGGGACACCAAGCATGGCCATGAGGTGCGTCCTGCTTTCCCCTGCCAACAGCCCCTGCAGCCTCTCTCCTCAGCACCGCTCTTGGACGAGGCCAGGTGGTTTGGGCACTAAAAACTACATAGTCTGTGCACTGGAAAATACCTTCCAGCAGCAGATAAACCCTTCCTATGCCTGATGTCTCCCTGCTTGCCCGGTTCCCCGCCGTGATCTTACTGGGCAGCCCAGCAGCACACTGGCCTCACACTGATAAACCCCCAAGGTGTATCCCAGGCTGCACACAACATCCAAACACTGCAAGGAACAGAACCACTTTAAAATCTGTGGTGCCAGAGATATCCTTGGGCATCTCAGTGCTGTGTGAACACAGTGACAGCTGGTACCAGTCACCTCAGTGAAGTTTGCAGTTGCACAAGCGAGTCCAGCACTTCTGATACTACGCAACCCAAAGCCACTGCATGGGCTCCTGATTTACCCCAGACAAAAGCTCTTCTCCTTTATGATGGCAGGAACAGCACCAGCACTGACACCCTCCAGATGAGCCAGGAGTGCAGTACAGTCAATTTTCAAGGTGTTACCTGCACAGCCTGTTCAGAGTGCAGCTCAGGTTCACCACACGTAGATCAGCACCGGCTGCAGGCCTGGATTAGTCCTGTGACCACCTAGGGCTGGCCAGGGTCCAGAGGCAGCTCTGGTACCTGTAGGTGGTGCAAAGCCCACACCGATAAATCCTCTGGACCTGCTGGGAGGCATGAGGCCACCTGACCCATCATACAACAGGCCTTTATGTGCCTTCAGAGCCAGGTGTCCTGGAAAGGCCAGTGCAGAGATGCCAGCGGACGTGCATCCTCCAGCATGAGCTCTCCAGGGGCACCCAGATGTCATCTGGTCCCCAAGTTGAGTCTCCCGGGACCCACAGACCGCAGCGCAGAGGCACTCGCTCCATTACTGGAGTGAATTAGCACCAGCTTTGAGGATCATTCTCAGACCTGGGCTAGATCTTCACACCATTTCAGATTTGAGATTCTGCAGAACGTCCTCAAGCTAACGACAGGTGACCACACTGTGGGCATGCAGACAGGCTCACACTGGAATCTGCAGCTTCCTACAGCAGCCACTGTCACTTCTGGGAAATTCTGACCCGATAAAATCCAAAGACCTGAAGAAACGTCCAGGTCAAAGAACATAAAGGACATCTACCAATGATAAATGGT